GTCTGTGGACCGCAGATCAACTAACACGAGTTTCTGACACACAAGGTGTGTTTACTAGGGCTGTGAGATTACTTTGGTCAGTATTGTTATTTAACATGATTACTCATTAAAAAAATACATACATTTATTCAACATTTGTTGACAGACAGACAGACAGATATATAGATACACAGACAGACAGATATATAGATACAGACAGACAGATAGACAAATATATAGATAGACAGACAGACAGATAGACAGATATATAGATACAGATATATAGATAGACAGACAGACAGACAGATAGATATATAGATAGACAGACAGATAGACAGATATATAGATAGACAGACAGACAGATAGACAGATATATAGATAGACAGACAGACAGACAGATAGATAGATATATATATAGATAGACAGACAGATAGACAAATATATAGATAGACAGACAGACAGATAGACAGATATATAGATAGACAGACAGACAGACAGATAGATAGATATATATATAGATAGACAGACAGATAGACAAATATATAGATAGACAGACAGACAGATAGACAGATATATAGATGCAGATATATAGACAGACAGACAGATATATAGACAGATAGATAGATATATAGACAGATAGATAGATAGACAGACAGATAGACAGATATATAGATACAGATATATAGACAGACAGACAGATAGACAGACAGATATATATATAGATAGATAGACAGATATATAGATAGACAGACAGACAGATAGACAGATATATAGATACAGATATATAGACAGACAGACAGACAGACAGATAGACAGACAGACAGATATATAGACAGAGAGACAGACAGACAGACAGATATATAGATAGACAGACATGAAAATGAAATGAAATGGTCACAGACAATAACTTCGATGTTCTGTGCCTTACTGAAACCTGGCTTAAACCAAATGAGTATTTCGGTCTAAACGAATCTACTCCGCCAGGATACTGTTATAAACATGAGCCTCGTCTGATCGGTCGTGGCGGCGGTGTTGCAACAATCTATAAAGATATTTTTAATATTACTCAGAAAACAGGTCACAGGTTTAATTCATTTGAAGTACTTGTGCTAAATGTTACGCTCTTAGATGTAAAAAGGAAATCTATATTATCTCTAGCCCTGGCTACTGTATATAGACCTCCAGGGCCATATGCTGAATTCCTAAAAGAGTTCGCAGACTTTCTCTCGGATCTATTGGTAAATGTCGATAAAGCAATAATTGCTGGAGATTTTAACATACACGTAGATAATACAAATGATGCTTTAGGGGCTGCGTTTACAGATTTATTAAACTCCTTTGGGGTCAAACAAAACGTCAGTGGTCCCACTCATCGTCTAAATCATACACTAGATTTAATTATATCATATGGAACCGATCCAACTGATATAGATATTATACCGCAAAGCGATGATGTCACTGATCATTACATGGTGACTTGCATAATACGTACTGCTGAAATATGTCATGTTGCGCCACGTTATAGACCAGGCAGAACAATCCTTCCAACCACTATAGATGGATTTTCAAATAGCTTACCTGATCTATCTAAGCTGCTAAGTGAACCCAAACAAACAGATGAATTAGAGGAAATGACTAGCAGTTTAAGCACCATTCTTACTAGTACATTAGATATTGTTGCGCCAATTAAATTAAAAAAGGTTCGAGAGAAAATTAAAGCACCGTGGTACAACAGTGCTACGCATGCTATCAAGAGAGAAACTCGCAACTTAGAGCGTAAATGGAAACAAACTAATTTAGAGGTCTTTAGAATCGCGTGGAAAGACAGTATGTCACGTTATAAAAAGACACTAAAAACAGCCAGGGCTGAGCATCTCCGCAAACTAATCGAAAATAACCAAAATAATCCAAGGTTTTTATTTAACACCGTGGCTAGGCTAACAAATAAACAGACATCACCAGAGCAAAATATACCTTTACAGTTTAGTAGTAATGATTTTATGAATTACTTCAATGCGAAAATAGAAAGCATCCGAAACAAAATTATAAATGTACAATCCGCTATGGTGTCTTATGATTCAGCTTCAATTATGGCCCCTCTAGAACAACTAAACCGCTTTACAACGATAGGACAGGAGGAGCTAAATAAACTTATCATTGCATCTAAACCAACAACTTGTTTATTAGATCCAATACCCACTAAACTACTGAAAGAACTATTACCTGTAGTGGAAGAGCCTCTCCTCAATATTATTAACTCGTCTTTATCTTTAGGTCATGTCCCAAAAATATACAAGCTGGCTGTAATAAAACCGCTCATTAAGAAACCGCAATTAGATCCAAATAACTTGGCAAATTACAGACCCATTTCAAATCTTCCATTTATGTCCAAAATACTTGAAAAAGTAGTGTCCGCTCAATTGTGCTCTTTTTTGCAAGAAAATGATATCTATGAAAAATTCCAGTCAGGATTCAGACCGCATCATAGTACAGAAACTGCGCTAGTTAAAATTACAAATGATTTACTTTTAGCTTCTGACCAAGGCTGTATCTCAATACTAGTCCTACTTGATCTTAGCGCTGCGTTCGACACTATAGATCATATAATACTCTTGGATCGACTACAAAACTTCACCGGTGTCCAGGGACAGGCATTAAGCTGGTTTAGATCGTACTTATCGGACCGTTCTCATTTTGTCTGTTTAAATGGAAAAAAATCAAAGATAACGTCAGTAGACTATGGAGTACCGCAAGGATCAGTTTTAGGCCCTCTGCTATTCTCAATATATATGCTGCCACTTGGTAATATTATAAGAAAACATGGAATTAATTTCCACTGTTACGCTGACGACACTCAATTATATATTTCATCACGACCAGATGAAAACACTAACTCATCTAAAATGACAGAGTGTCTCAAAGATATAAAATGCTGGATGACGCGTAATTTCCTGCTATTAAATTCAGATAAAACGGAGGTATTACTTATTGGTCCAAAAAACTACTCACAAAACCTCTCACAATACAACTTTAATATAGACGGATGTCCTGTTACTTTATCCACAACAGTAAAAGACCTGGGTGTTATACTAGACCGCAACTTGTCGTTCGAAAATCATATTTCATATGTTACAAGAACAGCCTTTTTCCACCTTAGAAACATTGCTAAGCTACGTAACATGCTATCTATTTCTGATGCAGAAAAATTAGTTCACGCATTCATGACCTCGAGACTAGATTACTGTAATGCTTTATTAGCCGGTTGTCCTGCATCCTCAATAAACAAGCTACAGTTAGTACAAAATGCAGCTGCTAGAGTTCTTACTAGGTCAAGAAAATATGATCATATAACACAGATTTTATCATCTCTACACTGGTTACCTATTAAGTTCCGCATCAACTACAAAATACTACTACTGACCTATAAAGCCCTAAATGGTTTAGCACCTATGTACTTAACGGACCTTCTTTCGCCCTACAATCCACCGCGTTCCTTAAGATCACTAAATTCAAGGCTTCTGGTCATTCCTAGGATATCGAAGTCCAGTAAAGGAGGGAGGGCGTTCTCGCATTTAGCTCCAAAACTCTGGAATGGCCTTCCCGATACGGTCCGAGCCTCTGACTCGCTGACACAGTTTAAAACTAGATTAAAGACGCATCTCTTTAGTCAAGCATTCACATAATGCTTACCTTCTACTCCTCTGTTATGCCATACGGAACCGTTTGCCACTGAAACTGCTTAACGCACCAGTGGGGCTCGACAGCCTCTTAGACAAACGGGTCGGCGCGTATGGTTGGGTTGCGGAGAGTTCGGGTTACGGAGAGTTTGTGAGTTATAACGGAAATTATTATGAACATCAGCTATGCTAATTATTTCCCATCTGCCTTTCTGCTGTTATCTCGGGACGCTTGTCCCGAGAAAAATGGCGTTCGTCAGGTCCAGTTTTGTGTCCAGCCTCTCACGGGGATTTCGGATGCCCCAACGCCTGTGATGAGACGACTCAACGCCTGTGATGAGACGACTCAACGCCTGCGATATGTTATGGCGCCGTTTGATTCATAAACAATATTTATATTTAATATTTATATTTAAACAATATGAATGTAAGCCAGAGGAGAACTGGCCCCCGACTGAGCCTGGGTTCTCCCAAGGTTTTTTCTCCATCCAATCTGATGGAGTTTGGTTCCTTGCCACTGTCGCCTTGCTTTTGGCTTGCTTTGAGCTTGCTCAGTTGGGGTTATTTAGTGTTTAGCAATGTTGTTGATCTGTGTTGTGCTACTTACATGTTATCACTGTGAAGCTGCTTTGATACAATCTGTATTGTGAAAAGCGCTATATAAATAAATGTGACTTGACTTGACTTGACAGACAGATAGACAGATATATCGATACAGATATATAGATAGACAGACAGACAGACAGACAGACAGACAGACAGACAGACAGATAGATAGACAGACAGATAGAACGCTGAAACTACACGACAACAAAGCAGCATAATACTTTATACCAGGCCGTATACAGTACACACAGCCGTAACACACTGCACACACACACACACACACACACACACACACACACACACAGCACTGACAGACGCAGTGTCATCACACACCCGAACACACCTGGACACACACACACCTGTGGGAATGAGGCGATGGAATGATACGATCACCAGATGATTTCTGTCACACACAGAGATGTGTTAATCGTTGCTGAGTGTTTAGCGCTCAGGGCCGTGTGTGTGTGTGTGTGTGCGTGTGTGTTCTGCTGAGAGACGGTTAAACCTGATCCTCCTTCAAAGTCTCACAAACACACTTGTGTCTGAGCGTGGGCTGTGCTTCATACCGTAATAACGATTATGAGATTTTGCATAAATTACATTAATATTATTATTTTATTATTATCCAGAGATAACATTGCTGACCTTTATATCCGCTGAGCTCACTGAGAGAGATGTTTAAGCTGAAAACGAATGCACAGTGGAGTAATAACTTATTTTTATTTAGATTTCTTTCTCTCTAGAGTAGTAAAATGACATTATATTATTGTTATTATCTTGTTTTCTGGGCGGGAAAAAACTAGATTAAGTTTCCGTGTTGTAAAATTATCTTGTTTCTGTTAGTCACCGTTATTTTCTCATCCCATTGGCAGATCATTTTACTTATTTTAAGCGAGAACTTTTACTTAATTTTGTAATAATATCTTGTCATTTTACTCATCTAAATGCATCTTGATTTAAGAATTTTTAGACATCTAGACTGGAAACAAGACAGAAACACTGAGTGAGTAAAGCATGTTTTTGCAGTGAGATCACGACAGTTGTGTGTGTGTGTGTGTGTGTGTGTGTGTGTGTGTGTGTGTGTGTAGTCATGGCTTCATTGGCTAGGCTCTGTAAATGTTTTTAAATATGTATGCATTATTTTTTTTAGTTATAATTATGAAGCACTTTGGGCCACAACGTTGCTGTTAAATGTGCTATAGATGAATAAAGTAGACAGTAATACAGCTGTGTGTGTGGAGGCGGCTGCTTTCCCGGGATTGGGATGAACAGATGATGATGACAGAGGTTTGGATGAAGGTCTCGAACCTCCAACTAAAGAGCTGACGTCAACATGATGATGAGTGATGTGTGTGTGTGTGTGTGTCTTAAGACTGATGGATGGACCTGGACAGACAGAACGATATAGAGACAGATCAACAGAGAGACACATGGATGGATCATATCAAACGATAGTATAGATAGATAGATAGATAGATAGATAGATAGATAGATAGATAGATAGATAGATAGATAGATAGATAGATAGATAGATAGATAGATAGATAGATAGATAGATAGACAGACAGACAGACAGACAGACAGACAGACAGACAGACAGATAGATAGATAGATAGATAGATAGATAGATAGATAGATAGATAGATAGACAGATAGACAGATAGACAGACAGACAGACAGACAGACAGACAGACAGACAGACAGACAGACAGACAGATAGACAGATAGATAGACAGACAGACAGACAGACAGACAGACAGACAGACAGACAGACAGATAGATAGATAGATAGATAGATAGACAGACAGACAGACAGACAGACCGATCGATAGACAGACAGACAGACAGACAGACAGACAGACAGACAGACAGATAGATAGATAGATAGATAGATAGATAGATAGATAGATAGATAGATAGATAGATAGATAGATAGATAGATAGATAGATAGATAGATAGATAGATAGATAGACAGATAGACAGATAGACAGATAGACAGATAGATAGATAGATAGATAGATAGACAGATAGACAGATAGATAGATAGATAGATAGATAGATAGATAGATAGCTTTAGTATGTGCATGACAGATCTGAGATCAGCAAACAGCCTTTCTGCACCCGCTGTAATTTCAGACTCAACACAAAACAAAGATCCATCTCTGCCCACTTCCTGAGGCTCATCCTGCCTTTGAAATGTTCATGTCAGATCGTAAACACACACACACACACGCACACACACAGGGCGGGCCGCGGCTCGACAGGTAAAGCAGCGGGAGCTCACCTGTAACATCACTCAGGTGTGTGAAGACACTCAGCGGAGGTGTGTTCCTCAGGTACGTTGTCTTTCAATCCTTCCTTGTGTTATGCCGTTAATATTGCAGAAAACATTCAGATACATCTACAGTAATCTTACACAACGACAGATCCGCCGAGCTGCAGTTTAATCTGAAGCGTTTAAGAGATGTTAGTATGCAGTTAATGTTGTGTTGAATATCTAATCCATTATAATACTACAATAAATTTAGATTTAAATGATTAGTTTGTACAGTACTAGTATGTTCATAACAAAAACATAAAATGTAAAATTAATTGCATATATATATATATACATACACACACTGCATGCTGCTTTTGGGATTATTGACAATTATATATATATATATATATATATATATATATATATACACACACACACACACACACATACACATATATACACACATACATATATACACACACATATATAGCCTACACACACACACATATATATTTCTTCGTTTGTTCTCTAAGCCTTTGGCTATTATATATAGTTCGTGTTAAAAGTAGGGTTTTTTGTATGATATGCATAAATATGTATGTATGTTACTTTGAATATATTTGATTTATGGAATATTTCTTTATTAGCTTTAGTTGTAATATTAGTTATATACACACCCACATTCTGAGACTTTTTATTTTTCTTGTTTTAGGCCTAAAACGTATTTTTGATTTATATTAAACTGGTTAAATATATTCAGAATTGTTACAAATAATTTTTATTTCAGTTAAGTAATTTGTTTAATATTTGCATTGTTTAATATTTTAAAAGAAAATGAATAATAGTTTTAACTGGTGCTTCTTCGTTTTACTCGAGTCTGCATCAGCGACTTTGCTAATGAACGTCCCGCTAGCATTTACACAAGAAGTGTGCGGGATTGTTTTTCTTTGTAGCGTTATGACATGTTTTCATTGATAATTTCTTCCATTTTTCTCCTTTATTCGACCATTGAGGGGATTTCCACTGAGAGACAGATTAGACATCATTTAATGATTCGCCTCGAGCTCGAATACACACAAGACAAGCGCAGATATGTCTTTAAATATAAAAAGAGGGATTAGCTCGGTCTAGCACGTTCTGCTTTGCTCTCGTAACTCTTGTGTTGTACACAATGTCGTGAATTAGAGACGGATTACACGTTCTCAGCTCCGACACACTGCCTTGTCTTTAGGCCAGAAACATGCTAATGTTTGCCCAACACATTACAAGCCAACTTTATTTACCTTCAAATGTTGGTTAATAAACCTAATGTGTTATTATTTGGCAATGTAGAAGGCAACAGCACATGAAACCAGAGACCTCTGCATATGTTTTGGGTCTTTTCGCCAGTATTTTATGTCAAATCCGTGTTAATTGCAAGGACCAGCCGCGGGTTTATCCTGCGTATTTGAACCTCAGACTAAGCGGTTATTAAGTTAATCTGGAGTGTGTTTGAAGTCCTCTGGTCTAAACTCAAGTCTGTCTCTCTCAAAATCCTTCACAGGGCTTTCAAAGAGCAGCAGAAGCCGTTTTCCGAGCGTCTATCATTGAGACCGGGGAAGAGGATGATGCTCCCTCGCTTCAGGAAGCGCACGCTAATCCATCAGTCTTAGACGAACTTCCTCGGGCTTGGCTTTCATTTATGTACGAACGACACCAATAGCAACTCCACACCTCAAAATGGACGCGTCTCATTACCGTTTGAGCAGGAGCAGTCGGTATTGCGCGCCCTCTGGTGGTTACAGAGGGAATGACGTCCACTCAGATCCGCTAGGTCGCTCGCTACCGCTGTTCTTGTACCCGACTCACGTTGAGCAGCGAGTTTACGATGGCTCGTACTGTGGCGGCGCGTCTCTACTGTCGTATCTCCCGCCGTTCCAGGGCAGCTTCGGCGTCTACGAATGCCCATTTGAGCCCGCCTTCATCCAGAAACGCAACGAGCGGGAACGCCAGCGAGTGAAGTGCGTGAACCAGGGATACGCCAAGCTACGCGACCACCTGCCCAACGCAACCACGGACAAACGGCTGAGCAAAGTGGAGACGCTGCGCGCGGCCATCCGCTACATCAAATACCTACAGGAACTGGTGGAGAATGCGGGCAGCGCAGAGGAGAACGCAACGGCGTCGCCCCTTTCCATCTCCGAATCGTCTTCCGAGGACTCTGTTGGGAGTTAAAGACGTTCAGAAAACATCATATCCTAGCGACTTTTATCATGCACCAACTTTGATTCTGAGTGATTCACAAATATTAGCACGTTTGAATAGGGGCTTTCGCACCGGGTAGTTCTAGGAACGGGCCACCAGGGTGTTGACCCGAGAACTGATGTGGTTCGCAGCGCCTGTAGGAACTCTGAGTGACGTGAGACACGCCTGTTGTTGTGACTTTAAGATACAAAACTTCCTTTACACAGAAAGGAATTAAAATAATTTAAAAATTTAAAAAGTTGAAAAAAGGAATTAAAAGAGATTTAATAATTTTAATTTAAAAGAGTAAAACGATGATAAATAGATAAACTTTTCATCTGGCAAAACACCAGTGTATCATATTTTTCACAGCTGCGTGTTTTACTGTGAGATTTACTGTTGATAACACTGAGTCTGTGGTGTTCTTTCGGCCTAAATAATCTATTCGATGTCTCCAATAGATCCGATTTCCCCTAAAAACAGACAGGAGGCGCTCTAGGAAAGGAATCGACCCAGTCCGCACATCAAACTCACCACTCCACCACAGACTCAGGTCATCAACATGGTCTCATCTCTCACCTTCCCAATTAACATTACATGAGTTAAATGTTTTGGTGGTAGCGTGTGTGAAGTCTCCCACTGAGAGTGTGTTTTGCAGACTGGGACATGAGGGCACAGGGGTCACGGCGCCCAAAAAAGCCTTGAAATCAACACGACGGCCAGTTCCTGACCTTGAACTCGCTCTGTGATCATGTATACTGGGATTTTACACTTAACCTAAATTCAAATAAACCTTAAATTATACTTGGAATGAGATTGTTTTTACTTGTTTGTACAGGTTTTGTTGTTGGAGTTTTATGTCTGTTCATTGACACATGTATGACACTGGGATCTTAAAAACTTCAAAGAGTTATATAATTTAAATATAATTTTTCGTTGATTTATACATGAATATTAATATCTATATTTTGAATGTTTATATATATATATATATATATATATAATTAATTAATTAACCATTTATAAATATAATGCAATAATAATTATGAAATATGACGTTTTGACAGTTGCCATGAGATTCACCCGTTTGCACTGCCGAGACACAATAATCATTGGGACGATCATAGAAAACTGTGACACCAAATTTCACAGTGAATTATCTGTGTGCTGATTGGTTTACCAGCTCAGTGATGTCACAAAGCCCAAACAGAAAAGGCCAATGGGAACATTCCAAAGTTATGACTGTTTATGTCCTGCCTCTTAATCTATAACTCTGTGACCATAACTGTGTCATGCTCCGTTGTCTCCTAACACACACACACACACACGTGAGTGACACGTATTGTCTATATTTATTTTTTAAGTCAGACAGCTGCAGGACTAACCGAACAAGAACAGAGAGAGACAGTGAGAGAAATATATTCAGACAGACAGCGGATGGTGGGGACACCTTCACTTTCTAATTTTCGAGTCCCGAGAAGATACTGAAGTATTGAGCCGAGTACCTGATCTCCAGAAGTCCTGCGCCTCCAGCTCGGTTCTGATCGGATCATGGAGGGCGGAGGCGAAGCACCCATGACCTCCTTCATCATGGATGAGGAGACGCTGAAGAGGAAGCAGAGAGAGAAACTCAAGAAGCTCCAGGCCACAGGTGGAAACCCTCGGCCCGCTCGATCCCTCCTCTTCCTCACGCTGAAGAACCCCTTCCGCAAGGCCTGCATCAACATTGTAGAGTGGAAGTATCCTTGAACAAATCAAAAAGTGATTTTAATTACAATAACATTTTTGCATAGTCACTAAACATATCAGTTAACTTAATGCATGTCGTAAAAGTAATTTTCCAAAAGTAAACTTTGATGCATAGAAAGCATTTATTTGGAACAGAATATTTCACATGCAACACTATAACTGTCTTTACTGTCACTTTTGATCAACTAAATGTGTACTCTCTGAATTCCCAAAACATTTTAATGGTAGTTTGTCAGTTTTAACAAAAATATTAAGCAGCAAAAAATGTTTAAAAATGAATTATATAACAAAATTACAAATCAAGGGCTCGGAGCCAGAGGGGCGTAAGTGGCATTTTGGGAGAATATGCGTTCTTTATAATCAAAATAAAGGTCTCGATGAGCTCTATCCAATGGTGCCAAAATACATATCTGAGATCAAACTGTATTGAATAAATCAACAAAAAGGTGTATCTGACGTATTCGACATTTTATTACTTGAAAATGTCTTAGAACATGTTCATATGCCATACATTTTTTACTTAAATACTCATTCATGCAAGTATGCCTGTGGTTGCAATGTTTGTGGTTTAAGGTTAATATACTGAAGTACTGATACTGTTATATATTGAAGTGTGGTCAAAATTTACTCCTGTAAAGTTTGTTAAAAGCCACTTACACCCCTCTGACTCCGAGCCCTCGAAATGTCTTTCATAGATCACCGGTCTTAAAGAAGTTCTCAGTTATGTTTCAGTTCAACATCAACTTAATTAGACTATTTGCTGACATCTTGTAATATACTAAACAAAGCTTAATTTACTCTCCGTTTTATCTCATGGCTGCATAGGAATAAACAAGCATACATAAAAGTCATTCATTACTAGAGGCGGCAAATCTGGAGCAGTGACAGACCGTTAATGAGCTGATTTAGTCATGAGTGTAAATGTCAGTGTTTCAGCACAGCGCTCTGATATTCTGAGGGAACAGCTGTTCTGTCCACCAGCTCACTAAATACAGACATGCTAAGCTCAGGGAATGCTAGCACACACACAACAACACACTGAGACGCCATGTAGATCACTGTGCTACAACACACATTATTATAATGTGTATCACTGGAGGAATATATTTCTCACTTTCAGAGAAGCTGGTTTATTTTCCTGAACGTGTCTCTCAGACCGTTTGAAATCATCATCCTCCTCACCATCTTTGCAAACTGTGTAGCGCTGGCCGTTTTCATGCCAATGCCTGAGGAAGATACGAATAACACCAACAGCAACCTAGTGAGTCTCTCTCTCACACTCGAACACACTCCATCTTAATACAGTACATATAAAACGAGAGCTTTACACTCTCTTCTTCTGGAGGTGCAGCAGGGACATGAATAGTTGGTACCGATTCTTTTTTCAGGATTAGCTTCTTAGCAAAACCAGCTTTATACTGATCGTCATTAATAAAGTCTCAGTCTGGTGAGAAAAGATTTGCGAATCGCGCAAACATGAAAGCATTGATGTTGCTCGTGGGGAATATTTCCTTCGAAAACCAAACTCAACCAATGTCTTCAGCGGTTCGGGTTTAAGGACATCAAATCATGACTGCTATGTTCGTTATTACACCGAAGAAAAGAACACCACAATCGCTTCGACCAGGATTCCCCAAACTCGGTCCTGGAGGGCCACTGTCCCTGCAGAGTTAAGCTCCAACCATGATCAAACTGTGACTCCACTTTAAGACACCTGAGACAACCTATAGACTCCGCCCTCATAGACTGCTCTACATATAAACCCCTCCCCAATACCTGTAGACTCCACCTTAAGACACCTGAGACAACCTATAGACTCCGCCCTCACACACCTCTACATATAAACCCCTCCCCAATAATTGAAGACTCCGCCTTAAGACACCTGAGACAACCTATAGACAACGCCCTCATACACTGCTCTACATATAAACCCCTCCCCAATACCTGTAGACTCCACCTTAAGACACCTGAGACAACCTATAGACTCCGCCCTCATACACACCTCTACATATAAACCCCTCCTCAATACCTGTAAACTCCACCTTAAGACACCTGAGACAACCTATAGACTCCGCCCTCATACACACCTCTACATATAAACCCCTCCCCAATACCTGAAGACTCCACCTTAAGACACCTGAGACAACCTATAGACTCCGCCCTCATACACACCTCTACATATAAACCCCTCCCCAATACCTGTAGACTCCACCTTAAGACACCTGAGACAACTTATAGACTCCGCCCTCATACACTGCTCTACATATAAACCCCTCCCCAATACCTGTAGACTCCACCTTAAGACACCTGAGACAACTTATAGACTCCGCCCTCATACACACCTCTACATATAAACCCCTCCCCAATACCTGTAGACTGCACCTTAAGACACCTGAGACAACTTATAGACTCCGCCCTCATACACACCTCTACATATAAACCCCTCCCCAATACCTGTAGACTCCACCTTAAGACACCTGAGACAACCTATAGACTCCGCCCTCATACACACCTCTACATATAAACCCCTCCCCAATACCTGTAGACTCCACCTTAAGACACCTGAGACAACTTATAGACTCCGCCCTCATACAAACCTCTACATATAAACCCCTCCCCAATACCTGTAGACTCCACCTTAAGACACCTGAGACAACTTATAGACTCCGCCCTCATACAAACCTCTACATATAAACCCCTCCCCAATACCTGTAGACTCCACCTTAAGACACCTGAGACAACCTATAGACTCCGCCCTCATACACACCTCTACATATAAACCCCTCCCCAATACCTGTAGACTCCACCTTAAGACACCTGAGACAACCTATAGACTCCGCCCTCATACACTGCTCTACATATAAACCCCTCCCCAATACCTGTAGACTCCACCTTAAGACACCTGAGACAACTTATAGACTCCGCCCTCATACACACCTCTACATATAAACCCCTCCCCAATACCTGTAGACTCCACCTTAAGACACCTGAGACAACCTATAGACTCCGCCCTCATACACACCTCTACATATAAACCCCTCCCCAATACCTGTAGACTCCGCCTTAAGACACCTGATAGAACCTATAGACAACGCCCTCATACACACCTCTACATATAAACCCCTCCCCAATACCTGTAGACTGCACCTTAAGACACCTGAGACAACTTATAGACTCCGCCCTCATACACACCTCTACATATAAACCCTCCCAATACCTGTAGACTCCACCTTAAGACACCTGAGACAACCTATAGACTCCGCCCTCACACACACCTCTACATATAAACCCCTCCTCAATACCTGTAGACTCCACCTTAAGACACCTGAGACAACCTATAGACTCCGCCCTCATACACACCTCTACATATAAACCCCTCCGCAATAATTGAAGACTCCGCCTTAAGACACCTGAGACAACCTATAGACTCCGCCCTCATACACACCTCTACATATAAACCCCTCCCCAATACCTGTAGACTCCACCTTAAGACACCTGAGACAACCTATAGACTCCGCCCTCACACACACCTCTACATATAAACCCCTCCCCAATACCTGAAGACTCCACCTTAAGACACCTGAGACAACCTATAGACTCCGCCCTCATACACACCTCTACATATAAACCCCTCCCCAATAATTGAAGACTCCGCCTTAAGACACCTGAGACAACCTATAGACTCCGCCCTCATACACACCTCTACATATAAACCCCTCCCCAATACCTGTAGACTCCACCTTAAGACACCTGAGACAACCTATAGACTCCGCCCTCACACACACCTCTACATATAAACCCCTCCCCAATACCTGTAGACTCCACCTTAAGACACACCTCAACCCAAGACTTCACTGACACTTATATACTCCAACCCCTTACAGACCTAAAAACCATTTAATAACATAAAATAGGCCGATTTAAATGTTTCCATACCTACAGTATATATTGTATTCTGTTCTTATAAAATATTGACCTATATCCTAAATGAACAAGTGGCTAGTTCATATCTATCTTCTGATAGAATGGCTGACACCTAATGCCAGATATTCATCCCACTAAACCCTTGTAAGCGTGCGTGACCTTGACTCAGGTGACTGAAAGAAGCAGGTGCTTTGACCGCATGCCGATGGGACGCTTCGCCTGCATGTGTGGACGTTTTAAAATTAGACACAAACTCTGTCAAACTATATGCTCTCACACACTCGCAGAGCTCTCTCATCACTGCAGTGTTATCTGAAAGACTTTGTGCTTTGTAATACAATTATTCAGATTGTTTCTTTGCAATCAGGTTGACATCAAAGCATTTGGAAGATCTATCCATCTAAATGTCAGTGGAAACACGCTCACAGTAGGTGCCATGTTCATCGTAAAAATTCTCAGTGTCTGGGTCGTTCGTTTTCAAAATGCCTCGACTGAAACCGGAGGAGAGTGTCAGGCTCTAGCAATTCTTTGCCACGTTTGCACCAAACACAACGCGTGTAAGTTGCAAGAATATAAAAAGACATGCCATGACAGATATTCAAAGCCAAAACAAAAGAGTTATGAAGTGGAAAAGCAACCACTGACACCAAACACCTTGAGTCAGTTGTTTGTGCTGAAGTGTGTTGACAGCTCCATTCATCTCAATGTTCTGTGTACATTCACAGGAGAGTCTTGAGTACATTTTTCTCATCATATTCACTATGGAATGCTTCCTGAAGATCGTGGCGTATGGATTACTCTTTCATGCCGATGCTTATTTACGGAACTGCTGGAATATATTAGATTTTGTCATTGTGACAATGGGGTAAGACACACACACACGTCTTGTTCACTATCTAAATTGGGTCTCTCCATGGACATTTTTTATACTGTCCAAACTGTATATTCTGTCCACTTACACTAACCCTACCCCTAAACCTAGTGTGTAACTCAATTTAGGCCCAAGAGTTCCCATGAGTCTGTGTGCATTCAGGTTTAAATCCCCACTGGGATAGAGACACATGTACACACACAAACCACCACCTGAATATGGCCAGTACACAAACACCTACTGTGTGACGTCTCTCAGGTTGTTCACAGTCGTAGTGGACTTCAT